CCCCGCCTCCTGAGGCAGCGCCCCCCTGGGGTGGGCCCGGGAGCACGGGAGGAGGCGGCGAGTGGGCAGGGGAGCTCTGGGTCAGCCCCCTCGGCTCCGTGTGTGAACGGGCTCTTACTCCGAGCAGGGCTTTCCTTGAAGGACCATCCCAAAGGCCCATTGTGGCAGTGCATCATAGCACTAACGCGGGGACATAGAGTGTGGAGAGAGCGCCTAGGCTGTTGTAAGCAAGAAAACGTTGATTAAAGGTTTTTTTCTAGGTTTGTTTATGCTAGCTCTTTGCATCCCTCATGCACACCACTTTGGTGTGCAGCACAGATGTGTTTTCCCCATCTTGCTGTGCTGTTGGTATCACAGGGCTCTCCAACCTAGCCCATAAAGTACAAGACAAGGCTCTTGTTTAAACAAGGCCTCTGACGTGATTGAAGACTTTTATTTGTGAGTTTTTCTGCAGTGCAGTGAGAAGTACTGGCCATGTAAGTAGGTGCTCAGGAAGGACATTTGTAGGACTGCTTTTGAATCATGCCGTTTTTTTCTGTTGTCAGTTTAAATTAGTCTAAGCTGTTTGTTCTAGACAGTATCCATCCCAAGAGGTTACCATCTCGAGCCAGCGAAAGCTGTGGTGTTGCTGTCCAGCAAGGCAGGAAAAAAGGGTTAGGGATTTCAGCCTGGTCAGTGCTCCTGTTGGGTTTTCTGCACGGAAACTTGTGCCTGTGCAGTAGACGGGTGGTGGGACAGGGAGTCACACATCAGAGAAAGTGCAAGGCTTGTGTTCAGTGTGAGCATTAGTAAACGTTAGTTCAGATGTTGTGAAGTTGCCTTTAAATGTGAGTATCGACTGCAAGATTACTACTGAACTACCCTGGGGAAATGACTGTGTTGCCTTTCCTGCCATGCAGCAGGTACAAAGTGCTGGTGCTTAAGATTTCCGCTTGTGGAGGGCATCTCTGCATTTTAAGAACTGACTTCCAACATATTTTTACAATGAAAAACAGAGCCACAGGAAGAAGAAGATAAAATTTTCAAGTGTTCTGAGTGTAGGCTTCTAGTTACACGTGTGCTTTCTTTAAACTGGGTTATAAACAACATCTTCAAAGTCACATAGTGAGCGTACAGCACAGCCAGGAATAATACTAAGGTCTTCTAGCTGCCGATCCTGCAGTTTACCCACAGTATTTTCATGTTTAGGAATCTTAGTCTCACAGACTACATAAAGGTTAAGCAGTCACAATACTTTTCCAATAGTTGGCTTTTTGTTTCTCTTCCTCAGAGCCTTCTGTCACCAGCACTTTCCCCCCCATGTCAGGGTCTCGGTGGAGTCCTGGTGAAACAACACATAATTCGTGATCCTGTCCGCCTTTGGAATCTCCTAGGTGAGTCCTAAAAAAGCAATTGTACAGGCAGAGGAGGGGAAAAGGTCTTATTTAGTAAGAGTATTGACTTTTCCTTACCTTCACTCCTGATGTAACTGAAATAAAGCTGTTCTATTCTTGGCTTTGGGAGCTGTGTGCCTTTTAGGTTTTTGTTTGGTGACAGGGACGAACAATGGCACCTTTCCACAAGGAGCTCAGTGTGATTAAGTAAGCACTTGAGTCATTAGACCTAAAAGCTAATTTAAAAACTGCAGACTTTAAAGTAGAGAATCTTTCTCTGCCTCATTAGCAAAACCTAAGATGAAAATGTCATTCACCTTTTTCAGAAGTCACATCGTACAACCTTGCTGAAAGCCTTGCGCTGGAGTCAGTTAAAAGTGTATGTTAGAAAATGTTACTTGAATTCTTAGAGCAAAAGCACAGAAAGGTAAAACAAAGGCAATTATTCTCCTTGCTGCCCTCTTCAAATTGGAAAGACGAGTTTGCTGCTGCTTTTGAGATTTGAACAAAACTGGTCACAGCTATTCT